ACTGGGAGGAGCTTTTAATAAATCTGAGCGTTTTGTGTTTCCATCAACTCCTATCAATGAGACAGGACAATTGAAAAGGATCACAAATAAAGAGTTTGCTGAAATCCTCTAGGGCAGCCTGAGAGAATGGGAATATTTATCTTTAAATTTCAAAAGAGTGACACAATCTTTACAGCTCACGTGATATTCGTCGCGATCCGTAATGTATTTGTCCGAGTTGAGTTGTAACGCTTTTGTGCTCGACATTACCTCGTAGAGATGATCGACCAAGTGCTCCAACTAAATTGTTAAGAGTTATCAAGCGTTACTTGGCCCTGTGCTAAGCCCAACAACCTGAGCAGCGTATCTCCAAGTAGGACTGAACATGTCCGGTTGCGGATCTCTCATTTTTGTCCACGGCATCCATTGTAACATTAAAAACCTGTTATAAACCATGAAATATTTCAATTCCAAAGCCTCAGTAGAGTCACTTTGGAAGCAAAATGTGTCACAGAACCAAAATTTGAGGAAGGAGATCATACAAAAACTTTAAGCCTTCAAAGGGAAAGGGAAAGATCTAAGTAGCTGAGGAAGGATGCTAGGGGACGGAGAATCTATGTAATTTTTTAGAAATACTTTTTGAATTTTTTTTATAAGCTCGGATGCGTAGTTTTTCTTTCGTGCTCACGTGGAATAGGCAAAACAACTTTTTTCGTTATATTACATGCCTTTTCGTTTCTCGACATCTTGATTAGTTCATTTTTCTAAGTCAATATCTTTCCCTTTTCAACTTCTGTTTTAGCTTACTTCAGTTCGCTGAGCACCGAAATAGGAAGTAATTGATCATGGAGAAATCCGAATCATTTTTGTTAAGGAAAACTTACTTTTTTTGAGGATAGAAAGAGCCAAAGGGGACAGAAGGGGCTCCGTTTTTTCAAGAAATGTCAGGAGACAATCAAAGCAAGAGAGGTTTTTTTCGGATTATCCTGTACCTAACTTTCTTGCATGGAGGGCAAACAAGACAGCACGAAAAGAAGACCTTATCTTTAATATATAAGCTGCAGCGAAAATCAGTGATTTACATGCACACTTGATCACTATTCATGGGGCATGTAACCCGTCGCGCATCGTATTATACGCACAGAGTCAGAGTGAACTGTAAATTATTGTTTTAGAGGTATGCTATGGAAGCAATCGGCAATCTAG